CAGTTTTCTAGTTATTATTCATCTATTTATCTTCAATATCGCAGTATGCTTCATCGTTTACGCCTAATATGAATGTGAGCATTATACCACGGATACCCCCTTTTTGTCTAACTGACGTTGATAAAATTTTCATTTTTAGTCTATTAAAAATTCTGTGTAAATTTTGTGCCTCCTAGAACAAGTCTTTTAGTTGATCATCGTATTGAATGGCGGGAAACATTACCTTTGACTGCTTGCATAGATTCGTCATTTGCGTTACTGTATTGTTGACATTGATTTTATCGCATTTTATATTAATGATTGGAAAAAAAGTGGTTGTTCGAAGTATTAATTGCTGTGTTTTAACAAAACCTAATCTCTCAATAAAAAATCAAGGTTCCAGGTAAGTTGTTGTGTGCATTGAAATTGACTGCGTTATGCAAATATACATTAAGAATAATATAAAAACAGCTGGCATTACCTTAAATTTTGATGATGGATGTTGTAACTCTTTTTTTTTACTCTTCCATCACCGGTTTTTATATTGCTTCCTGTTTCACTATCTTCAGACATCCTTCTTACTTTATCTACACGATTCTCTTCTGGCAGATTACATAATTTCTGTATGACTCTTTTAATTAGTCCCTTTTACATTTTTATTGTGGCAACACGTGCTAAATTTTCAGATCCTTTATGCACATCCTGAGAAGGACTTACTAAAGAGAGTTTACAAAAATTATTACTTAGTTCTATTTTACACATATGAACATTTTGAAATATCTTATTATATCTTACAACTTCTTTTTCAATTAATAATTTGCCCTCTTTTTTGCTTATAGCTCTACTTCCATATAGTTTACAATTAATTTTTATTATAGGATATGTAATATGTACCACTATTAAAACTGGGTTTTGTAAAATTTTGAATTTAGATACGTCCATCAAATCTGTTAAGGTGTCTCTGGTATTCTCATGTTTGATTATGTCTTGGATTTCTTTTAAATCTAGTATCGCTGTGTTTAATATACCTGCCTTGGCTAGCGTAACTGTTAGTAATAGGTTCTGTAGTTCAATTAGTATTAGTCTGTTTGTTTGTTTCGTTACTTTTGTCTTGCGCGAACAATTTTCTAAGTTTTGGATCATTTTTACCATACTAAATAGAGCTTTAAATATTTGTGAGTTTGTTGTTAGTTGTTTGTTACTGTTTTCTGCTAGTTCATTTATATTGTTGTTAATGGTTACCAGATCTGGGGAACCTGCTATCCATTTCCAAAGTGTGCCCAGTTCGTTAATTCCTCTTTTTCTTCTATAATTAGTCTTTTGTAATTGTGAAAATATCGTGTCTATCAGATGTAGCTCTAACCGTATGTCTAAACTGTCAATATGTGTCGTAGATTTATTATTTTGCGTTTCTAATCTAACAACGATGTCTTCATTAATTTCATTTCTGGTTACTTCTACTAATCCCTTAATGTACGTTAAGTTAAATGCAATGATTAATCGATCCATTGTCTGTAAAGTGCAAATAAAGTTAAGTTCGTATATTATCTTTATGTACTATTCTGTTTCTATAATGGATTTTAACTTTTTTCCATAGGTATTCTTTTACTTTCTGTTTTTTATATTTCACATCTAACTTCTTTCTTTTACCATCTGCTTTTTCATAAATTGTTTCATTAGGTTTGTACGTTTTCAAACCTTTTAATTTGTCGTTTCGTTTTAATATAGTTTCTTGTGCTTTTGGTAATTTTTCTGGTATATCGGGGTGGTCTATTTTATTATATAATATGTCTTGCGGTTTGTACTTAGTAACCGTATGAATTGTTTTGTTATACTGTTGAACGGCTCTAAATATAACCTCTGAATCGTTTACAATACTAAATTCCTGTCTTAAGCATCTTGCTATTACGATTATCGTTGAATGAACTCTTTCTACCTGTCCGTTCGTTAAATTATACTGTGGAGCACAATAATAAATTTTAATACCCATTCGTTCCATTAATTAATTAACGTGGGGTGTCGAGAAACCTGATTCGTTACCTAAAGTAATTTGCTTTGCCTCTGAGAATGACTGTAAAAGTTCCAAAACTTTTTCATCGAGTTTTTTTTTAACTTCAATTTGTATAATGAACAGATATTTTGAATAAGCATCAATACAAGTACTGAATTTAAGTTTTTGCGCGAAAAAAATGTCGAGATGGACTAACTCTCCCTCCTTCTTGGGAATTGGTGCCCCGCCAATTGGTACCTTTTGAGGCTTTCTATCGAATGTATTTCTATTACAAATCCCACAATGTCTTACGAATTCTTTAAAATGTTGGGTCATTTGGGCCAATAAAATGTGGTAAAGATTTGTTTGAAATTTTCCCTATAACTTCTGTGTACACGTGTATGTGTTTGTTTTACTATTGCTTTTTGATCGTCTGTATTAAGGACATCTATTGGAAAATTCTTAGTGTATGTGAATTTTATGTCAGTGAATGTTTTGATTAAGTGGTTTTTAATTTCGTAAAGATCTTCGGTTGTGCAATAGATTGCAGTTACAACTTTGGGTTGAAGGTATTCCTTCAGGATTGTTAAAAGATTTTCGACTGTATCATAAATTTGATTTACTTGTAGTAATGTTGACTCTTAATATTGTAACGACACTTTTGGGTGATGTTCAAAATTTTTAGTTTTGCTGGGGTATCCTCAGCCGTCGTCCAGAGTCGAGACAATTTATTTATAGTTTCGCTGAGACGTTGTTTTAGAAGAAAAAAAAACGTTATTTTATATATATAAATTATATATATCTATATTTATTACATAAAAACTTATGATCTAACAAAGTTTAATTAACCAAATTTCAAATAAATTATTTACCCTATAATAAGTGATTATTCCTTGAAAAAAATATTCCTTTTGCTTTTTAATAATAATCAAAAGAAAATATATGTTGACGCCAGAATTTCCTTTCTCAATAAATTACTTGTAACAAAAAAAAAAGATTTTTGGCAACCACAGTGTGACTTCCTGAGCCCCTCCTCTGTTGTAAAAAAAACGTTTACTCCGTGCTGTGAAATAAAACTATTTGACCCAATGAGCCAGGTTAAAAAAATATAGTACACATAAGACGAGAAAATTTCAAACTACGTTTGACTCAAAGAGCCAGGTTTTTGGCACAATGTGCCAGATGACCAATAGGCCAGTGTACTCGTTTTGGAAAAGTAAAATTTCAAGTATTTGATAAAATTTACCAGAAGGCTCAATGAGCCAGAGTACTTGTTCTTTTACTTGTCGAAAACCAAGTCCCCGATTATATGAAATGTGCCTCCTTTTATATCGAGCATACCGGAGCTTTTTGGTGTAGCGTACCGGTATTCATTGCTGTACTTGACTTCGCCGTGAAGTTGAACTTTGTGTTCTACTGTTTTCCTTTTCTTCTACTTCGCCGTGACTTTTAGTATTTTTACTACGTGCTGTGTTTATTTATTTCGTGTGTTATTTCTCCTTAATTTATATTTTATTATTAAAAAAATAAAGTGTATTAATAATTCAAAACAAGGTATTAAATATACCTATATATTTTGTGAATTCAATATTATCTAAATGTGAAAAGAAAAGAAATAAATTAGTAAATAAAAAAAAAACTAGCGTTGATGTGCTTAGTTACTGCCGAAGTTTGTTTTGTTTACGTGTACAAAAATAAAATTGTACAAACATGAGTGTTAAATTGTTTTGTGTATTATTTTATTTATATATATTTCAAATAGATATTTGTTCAATAATTAAACGTGTTATCTGTAATAATTGTTCAGTGTTGTTGTGTTTACAAGTTTTGTTTTCATTCATAAATTTTTGTAACAAACAAATTAAATTTTTTTCGTATATTTTAGATTCTGCACATATATCGATGCCCGCGGCACGTTGGCTTCGAGGATCGCAGGTAATGTCCATGATATGTTGAATAACATTTTAATTCAATTTTATGTTTTTCCAGCTAAGTCTACTTCAGTTATTTTCACGTGAGTTATTGAATATATTATGTGTAGCGGTGGCAGTTATTTTACGAACAGATTTTATTTTTTTCTTCTTCTAGATCATATGTAACACACAAATTTATCGTAAAAATTTATGTCGTTACATTTCCCTCTTTCTTCAGAAAGTGAAAAGAAAACTAAAACTTTATTTTAATGATACGTTGATTACCCCTCTTCGGCTAATTTGCACTTGATACTTCTTATTTTCCACGCACCGTATGAAGTTGAGACGTCTTCCTACTCTTCGTTTTTTACAGGCTTCACGAATAGCCATTTCTATCTCTCTAGGCCAGTTGTTGATGACTTCCTTTTTAGTCGACTCTCTGGGGACATTGCTCATCAACTCTGCATATAGTTCGTCAATTACTGGCGGTGGTGGTGATGTACTCTGCTCACTAATGGTGTCTGTCCAGGTGCACTGTAATATGTCTTGATCCACGTCGTTGTTCATCATATGTTCGATAGTTGGTGATGCACTTGCTGGCTTCGTAGTACTGGATTCTTCTGTGTGATTGACCTGCTTCTGCCAACCGGTAGCTTTAGGTAATTGGACTCGGTCTGCTGGCATGAGGCGCGGTTGTGGTTTGGGACATTCCGTGACACGTTGCTTTTTCGATTTGTTGACCACATGTATTGTACTGTTTAACCGTTTGCGTGGAGGCGCGTGTACACTGGGTACATATTGACAGCGCGGAGCACTTCTTTTTAAATTTTCTAGGTTTTCCCGAAAACGTTTAACCGATTGTTGAAATTTATTATCCATGTTGTTTGGTATTCCGATATTATGCGATTGGATGTTCCTTTCCTATTTGCTTGGCTTTATACCACAATTTTTAACGGATCGTGAGCTTTTGTTTAGTTTAATGCGGGTTCGATGTTCGATTCATAATTGGTTTATCCTATTATATATAACTTTATATACCCTACACCCCGAAATTTTGGGTCGTTTATCCCTTATTTTCCCTATGATACATGCTATTACTTGTGCTACTAATATTCCTCTCAGAATGAGGCTCGATTTCTCTTTCTAATCTTTGGATTCTTGAAAATTTTGTAGTAATCATCTTGGTTTTTGACATGAGGATGGTCATCCTTTCGTTTAAATGTGCCTAGACGTCGTATGAGAATCTCTGGTTTGTTTCCTTTTATGCTTGGTTGAATGACATTCAATTCCTCTTGTGGTGACCATGGTTCTTGTTGACTGTCACGCTTGACTTTATCCTTTGCTTGAGTTTCTTGGCTTGGTAGTTCCGTATTAAGTTTACTATCTGAAACATTGATATCTAATGGATCTAATGACTTCGTAGGTTGTACTGGACGATTGTTCGATACTGGCGGTACTGTAGTAGAATTCCTCTGTGGCGATGTAGTTGATGACGAAGATGATGGTGGACCGGACTGGTGATTATCTCTTGGTGGTGCTTCTCGTTGTGCTTGTTGCTGATTAACAAGGGATGGCGGCTGCGGCTCAAGTTCCTTTGGTTGTAACGATGATTTGAAATTACTTTGCGAATGACACTGTGGCGTTTGCGATGACGATTCTGAACTTGTAGAAATTGGTAACAATGGATGATTGACATGTGATGACTCTTGTACTATCGGTAAACGTTGTGGTAGTGCTGGAAGTGATGATGAATCATGCTCTTGGATTTGATGTTTTTGTTCTCGTGGTTGTGTATTTTGATCGTGGTTGGCTGGCGACTGTTGTGCATAGGCTTGTTGATAACATACTTTAGGACTTTCTTGATGATGCGTTGAAATCTGTGGAGGAGTTACGATGCATTTATGTAATGCCTGCTTTTGTGGTTTTCCCTGTAGTGGTACTGAGTGTGGTTCTGAGTCACTTCGATGTTGTATGCTGAGCGTGGGTAGTGTACTTGTTATTGGATTACTAACTGCTGTTGCTCGTTTTGCGATTGGTGGAATCGGTTGCTGGTTACTTCTCTGCTGGATATGATTATTCGATTCAATGCTTTGATTATGGACTATTCTTTCTTGCATCAGTTTTGGGTGACTGGATTCTAATTTGACGGGTAAGATGATCGGGTGGTTGTCGTCCCCCAAAGAGTTTTCCGATGGGTTCTGACGGTTTCCATAAATTGGGTTTTTCCTACGGCATTCGTTTGTTCGACGGCCCAGAATGCCACAAGTCCAACAAAAAAGTACTTTAGGTTTTGTGCAACCTTGCGCAAAATGGTTCGCTTCCCCACATCTACGGCACGCACTTCGTACGTTCACCCTTTCGGTTTGTACTCTGTGAACAGAAACTGGCGGTGACCATTCTTGAGTGTGCTGTCGCTCTGTTTTGCTTAGTTGAATAAGTCGCTCGAATTCTCTTGCTAATTAGATCAACTCTCCCAAGGAGCTAAATTCACGTGGTTTGATGTTGAGTTGATATTCCGCCCTACTGTTTCGATAGATTCGGCTTAGTTGTTGCCCCTCTGTAAACTCGGCATACCGCATCAACTCCTGTAGTGCTAAGACATAGTCTTGAAATGACTCATTCTTCTTTTGGTATCTGCTCCGAATCGTATCTTCTAGTTGCTCTAAATAATTAGAGGGCAAGAAAAATTCTCGAACGTCCTGGACAAAGCTTGACCAGTGTGTCCACTTTCGATTGTTATTTCGGAACCACATTAAGGCTCTCCCTTCGAGTATTTCTAGCATCATCCTGGGCAGGATGTCTTTGGAAATGTTATGGTTGTCGGCGAGGCCTTCCAGTCTCTCCAGGAATGGTAATGGGTTCGTTTCACCATTGAAATGCACAGCCCATTTACGCACTTGATTCGCGATTCTCGCGAAGTCCTCAAACTTGTCATTCATCGTGGTGGGCTCTGAGATGTGTATTTTCGGTGTTTCTGCTTCGAAACCTGGAAGTTTGGGTGAGAGACTACGATCGTATTTAGTTTCCATTTCTCCAATTATGTCTAGTAATTTTGACGGGTTTTCCTCCGTTGTTAGATGATCACGTACCCGCTTTCGTAGCTCCTCAACGGTTCCTGTTGTACTGACCTTGATTTCTTCTAGAATTAAAATCAGATCCTCTTTGCGTGCTATAGAAATCCATGCCGTCTTGACCATGTTATTAGTTTAGTGATTTAAGCGATTTTGTGTTTAGTCTAATGATTTTTTTTTCTTGAAACGCTTGTACACTGTTCTTTATGTTCCTAGTGCGTTCTTTTTTTTCTTCTAAAACTCTGTCCCTGCTCGGGCGCCAATTGTAACGACACTTTTGGGTGACGTTCAAAATTTTTAGTTTTGCTGGGGTATCCTCAGCCGTCGTCCAGAGTCGAGACAATTTATTTATAGTTTCGCTGAGACGTTGTTTTAGAAGAAAAAAAAACGTTGTTTTATATATATATAAATTATATAAATCTTTATTTATTCCATAAAAACTTATGATCTAACAAAGTTTAATTAACCAAATTTCAAATAAATTATTTAGCCTATAATAAGTGATTATTCCTTGAAAAAAAATATTCCTTTTGCTTTTTAATAATAATCAAAAGAAAATATATGTTGACGCCAGAATTTCCTTTCTCAATAAATTACTTGTAACAAAAAAAAAAGATTTTTGGCACCCACAGTGTGACTTCCTGAGCCCCTCCTCTGTTGTAAAAAAAACGTTTACTCCGTGCTGTGAAATAAAACTATTTGACCCAATGAGCCAGGTTAAAAAAATATAGTACACATAAGACGAGAAAATTTCAAACTACGTTTGACTCAAAGAGCCAGGTTTTTGGCACAATGTGCCAGATGACCAATAGGCCAGTGTACTCGTTTTGGAAAAGTAAAATTTCAAGTATTTGGTAAAATTTACCAGAAGGCTCAATGAGCCAGAGTACTTGTTCTTTTACTTGTCGAAAACCAAGTCCCCGATTATATGAAATGTGCCTCCTTTTATATCGAGCATACCGGAGCTTTTTGGTGTAGCGTACCGGTATTCATTGCTGTACTTGACTTCGCCGTGAAGTTGAACTTTGTGTTCTACTGTTTTCCTTTTCTTCTACTTCGCCGTGACTTTTAGTACTTTTACTACGCGCCGTGTTTATTTATTTCGTGTGTTATTTCTCCTTAATTTATATTTTATTATTAAAAAATTAAAGTGTATTAATAATTCAAAACAAGGTATTAAATATACCTATATATTTTGTGAATTTAATATTATCTAAATGTGAAAAGAAAAGAAATAAATTAGTAAATAGAAAAAACTAGCGTTGATGTGCTTAGTTGCTGCCGAAATTTGTTTTGTTTACGTGTATAAAAATAAAATTGTACAAACATGAGTGTTAAATTGTTTTGTGTATTATTTTATTTATATATATTTCAAATAGATATTTGTTCAATAATTAAACGTGTTATCTGTAATAATTGTTCAGTGTTGTTGTGTTTACAAGTTTTGTTTTCATTCATAAATTTTTGTAACAAACAAATTAAATTTTTTTCGTATATTTTAGATTCTACACATATATCGATGCCCGCGGCACGTTGGCTTCGAGGATCGCAGGTAATATCCATGATATGTTGAATAACATTTTAATTCAATTTTATGTTTTTCCAGCTAAGTCTACTTCAGTTATTTTCACGTGAGTTATTGAATATATTATGTGTAGCGGTGGCAGTTATTTTACGAACAGATTTTATTTTTTTCTTCTTCTAGATCATATGTAACACAAAAATTTATCGTAAAAATTTATGTCGTTACAATATGAGTTTTTAAATATTTATTTGTGGTGTTTTATTACTAACAATTATTTTTTGCTCTATTAAAAAAACTAAAATTTTCTAAATCAAAATGTATATGCCTGAAAATTTAATTGTCAATTTTTATTTTTCAAAGTAAACTTCTCTTTTTGAATAATGCCACATGAACGCCACATCACTCCCCCACCAGTGGTTGAGTAGAAACGATGCCACGTTATACGCACTTGATTCTATGTCATAAATCTGATAGGTAATCGAATAACTCTGCCACTAGATGTGCTGCGACCAGAGTTGAGCTCCTGTTAAGGTCTTCGTACAGGTTGTGCATCCGGACTTGACTGAAATGAAGTAGATCGTGACAAGTGCGTACTTGGTTCAATTTCTTCATTCAACAAATAAGCTGCCTTTACTCTGTCAATGCTCACTTGAACAGGTCGGCCTTTCATTAAAATAGTAGTGAGCTTACGATCACGATGTATCACCTTGAATGGTCCATCATAAGGAGATTTCAATGGAGGTCATGTGTCATCATCCCTTAGGAACACATGTGAACACGTCTTCAGGTCTCGTTGTACAAACGTTTTCGCTTTTGCATGATTTGAACCTGGATCTGTACGTAATTGATTCATGGTCTCCGTAAGAAACGTTGCAAATTCGGAGTTACAACCGATGTGAGACGTCTTCTCAAAAAATTCTCTTAGAAGCTTAAGAGACGTACCTTATACCATTTCTACTGGGCTAGCTTGGATATCGTCTTTAAACACACTCCATAAAGCTAGCAATATCAGTTATAATTCATCTGTCCACCTTTCATTTGACTTACACTTCAGTGCAGCTTTTAGTGTTCTGTGGAATCGTTCCAGAATTCCGTTCGATTGTGGATGTCGCGAACTTGTACGTAGATGTTTAGCGCCAATCAACTGCACAAGCTCAGCGAACAGCTTTGATTCAAACTGCCTGCCCTGATCTGTAGGGATGTCTGAAGGAACGTGTGAAATACATTCCGTGATGAATGCCGCAGCTACTGTGTCTGTACGAATCTCTATAGTGGGAATAACAACAGGCCACCATATAAATCGATCTATGCATGTCAGGCAGTAGCTGTATCCATCTGATGGTGGTAATGGCCCCACTATATCAACGTGTACTGCTGCAAATCGCCGGTCAGGTGCCTTGAAGGTTCCGAGTACTGTTTTGTTGTGTCTACCTATTTTAGCTCGCTGACATTGTGGACTTGTTTTTACCATATTCGCCACATCCCTTCTAATGTTTGTCCAGATAAATCGTGCTGTGATCGGTTTTGCCGTGGCCTTGCTACCTGGATGACCTATATTAAGTATGGTGTAAAAAACTTGCCTACAAAATTCATCTGTGATCCAAGGTCGTGCATGCTTTGTTGAAAAATCGTACACAATGAGATTCTACGAACTAGGTAGATGCACCGAATTCCTACCTTGTGATGAGTTGTTGTAGCTCTAGGTAATTTGTTGGCTTTTTGATAACCTATCAAAGTCAATCAACTTTCCCCCTGTATTTCGTCAATACGTGATAGGAAATCAGCAACGCTATTGTCTTTTCCAGGATAATGTCTGATATCAGTAGTAAACTAACGTATGTAATCCAGATGTCGAAGTTGTCTGGGAGATACTTTTTCAGGATTTTGCTAAGGTGCAAAAATGATGGGCTTATGATCAGTCAACACAGTAAAGTTCCTGCCTTCTACTATGTGTTTCAAATGCTGTACCGTCGTACAGTGTGACAGAACACAAAATTAGGCGGTCAGAATTCGATATTTTCGGAACCAGTGGAGATATTGATATGAAATTTTCTTTAAATATAGTTTTTGAGATGGTCTTTCTTAAATCTAATTTGAGCCCAATCGGCTTACTGGAACTCCGAAATTTTTGTCCAAACATGGGGCATTTACCGTGATCCCAAGATTACTTAAAAACTATGATAGGGTGAAAGCTGAATTTTGGTGTTCGGTAAACTTATTTTATTATCTATATTCTAAATTTTTTTATGGTTTTCCGCCAACTACCACACCCACCCTCCATACAAAATTTTCATTTTAAATCGTTTATTATCGTTATAAGAACTTTTTACACTTATTGGACTATATATATACATGACGTACATAGTAACACAACTTCATGCAAAAAATGGGCATGATTCTCCCATTAGTTCCTAAGTTATTTTCAGTTTCATGCAATTTTAGCGAAATTACGATTACACAAAAATTGAACCAACTTTAAACCCTTATATGTTTTTACTATTTATTCAAAAATGATAATTTT